TTAAAACCTAGTCGATATTTTTCTCACTACCAATTTTTCTCAATTCTATTTCACTTCCTTTTGTTTCTCAATATTCCTTCGTTTTTGCCCAATTTTCCGTTTTTTTCCCGATTTTTCAATTTTTTTTTCAATTTTTCCCAATTTTTCAATTTTCCTCAATTTTCGTGGTAATTGAAATGTTCTCATTTTTCATAATTTTCTAGATCATTGAATGAAGGAAACAATCACAGTTCAGTGATTTACCCACAAAAATTAAAAAATTCCAAAAATTGGCCCGAAATGAGCTGTTTTCTCTCGAAAATTGTTCGAACATGCAATTAAACATTACAAAAATTATAAAATTAATTTTTTTCGATTCATTACCACGAAAATTTGAGCAAAAACGATGGAAAACGAAGGAAAACGGAGAAAAATCCAAAATAAAATTTTTCAGCGATGACGTCATCAATCCATGGCCGTGGCCGAGGTGGGGAGTTTTCTCTTCCATGGGAAAATTTCGAAAAATTCACAGCTTTTCGCAAATCCCATTTTCTCGGCTCTCCGCCGTTTTTCATCGTTTTTGCTCAAATTTTCGTGGTAATTAGTGGAAAAAATTTAATAATTTTTGTAATGTTTTATTGCCTGTTCGAACAATTTTCGGAAGAAAATAGCTCACTTTGGGCCAATTTTTCGATTTCCGAATTTTCGTGGTTAAATCACTCAATTGTGGTTCTTTCCTTCATTCAATATTCTAGAAAATCATGAAAAAATGAGAAAAATTTCAATTACCACGAAAATTGAGAAAAATTAGAAAATTAGGAAAAAACGGAAAATTGGGAAAAAACGAAGGAATATTATGGGGTTATTCATGTAGCGAAAATATGTATTGAAATGCATTTCCGCGCCCTCGAAATTCAATGCATGAGCGTCGCGAAATGTATTTCAAAGCATTTCGCGACATAACTGTAAATGCATTTCAATACATCGCGTGGCGAGATATTTTCCTGGAAAAAGTTATGCGC